AAGCCAAAAGCCAATAGGAGTTCTGCTATGATGACGATGGAAAGTATTGAAGAATTTTCCATCAAGCCCACTTCTAAAAGAAATTCCAATTCATAATGAATGTTTGCAGTTATAATTTGTTTCCCAGTGTGGAATAACGTAACGAAGCATTTGGAAGTTGTGACATCAAAGTTGCAACCAGCTGTCTGCCTAGGAACGGTGCGGTCTGACCGCCTCAATTGACGTCGACAATATGTCACAACCGGCGGCGCCCACACATTGGCACTTCATCTTTCGACGTTTCAGAAAAACGTCAACCGTTACCAGTTACCGAGAATTATGAACTCTGTTTGGACGTTCAGATATGGAAACAAGACTCGATTGGATGGAAACTACTGAAACACCAAAGGATGTGTACCTGGTGACGGACCGTTTGCATGAGAGCGTTCTGGTGAGTGTTCGTCCATGAGAATCGTTCACATGTGTCCGACTGTGTGTGACTGGATTCATAGGGATTGTCGAGACTTGTGTATATTTACAAATATACACTTGTATGCATGTCTGTATGTGTATGTATGATGGTAAATGATGAGGTGGTGAGTAGTTGACCATTTGTATTCCTTTCTTTCCTTAAAAATCTCCACACCTCGATACTGTCTTTCGTCTTCAGTACCACAAAACAAATATCAATTTCCGTCTTTTTGTACAGTGTATGCTTTTTGAAAAAGCTACCATGTGACGGCAATTTAAGTTTTGTGAACGAATTGAGGTGGAAAAGAACGAGAAGTGGCAGAATTGCAGCTTGACGGCTACCGAGCTAAGCAGATCTCGTTGTCAAACGAAAAAATCGTATTCACGAATTCATAGCTTAATTCACCCAGAAACGGCATGATAAAAAGCGGAAATGACAATAACTCAGAAGAAAAACTAAACGAGAACAGACGAAAAATGAAAGATTAGGAATCGTAGGTGAACAGCGGCTCATTTTCTATTAATGTTGTGGCCATACATTTGTAAATGTGGCAAGCATAAAAATTCAGCGCTGTCAAAAAGTCGAACACATTTGTGTGATATAACTCGTATGAAGTGCTGAGATATCTGCAAAACTCCGGACCACAGGTGTATGCAGTGGAGAACGAACACGCGCTGTTGTCCTTACCGGTAAGGACAACAGCGCGTGTTCGTTCTCCACTGCATACACCTGTGGTCCGGAGTTTTGCAGATATCTCAGCACTTCATACGAGTTATATTTCACAACATACCCTGCCATTAAGAAGAAAAAGGCAGTAAATA